CTCTTATTAGGCTGGAGATAATGTTTTTAAGGAAAGTATATAGACTTTATTATCAAAAATAAAAATTATTTTTGAGAATGTCTGTTTTTTGGATTGGCAAGGGGATCAGCAGAAAGAGTATTTTTTATATTCTCAAATAATTAAATATATATATACTATATATATATTAATAATATATTATGTATTTTCAAAAGATTAATAAACAATTATAACATACAATTTAATTAAGATATTAATAATTTTTTTTTTCAAATAAAAGATACTAAATATATATTTTTTTATTAAGTAATTTATATTCAATTATATATATATTAAAATTATTTAAATTAATTTGCTACTTCTATCTATAATATTATTTAGTTATATTAATTTATATCAAGTAATTGAATTTATATACCAAATAAAATCTTTAGAAAATAAAAAAATCCATTATTTATTTATAAACTATCAGATCTAATCTAAATTCTTTTAATTTTATTAAGATTTTATATTTTTTAGAAATAATTAAAATATTCAAATAATATATTCAATACTTTTTATTTAAAATTTCAAAAAAATATATATTATTTGTTATTATTATTTGTGATTTCTATTTAAATAACATATTATATAACTTTTTTTAAAACAAATATCAGATTAAAATAGTTTCAAGCTAGAATATTTTTTATATTATAAAATTTATTATGCCAAAAAAGATTAAAGTTTTTATAAAAATTAAATCAAAAAAATTTTTTTATTTAATTTTTTTTGCTTTAATTTTAATTTTAGTATATAATTATTAAAAAGATCAAAGATTCTATTTTTATATTGTTTAATTAAATTTAATTAGAATCTGAATATTTAAATATAATATAAATAAAAAAATCAATAAAACTTTTATATAAAGAATTTTTATATACTTTGTTTTTTATATATATTAAATTAAAAGCATATATTTGAAAATCTAAAAATATTATTTACTGTGCTATTGATTCACAAAACTTAATTTAATAATATTTATAAATTATAAATTATTAAATTTATTTATTAAATATATTATTAATTATTTAATATTTTATAAAAATAAGATATATTAATATAATAATTATAAATAAAATCAAAATCTTTAATATTGTTATATTTTTATAAAATAAAAAATTTATTTAATATATTATACAATATATTGTTTAATGAAATTTTATTGTTTATAAATATTAAATATAAAAAATATATTAAAAAAATCTAAACAATAATTGATTTTGATTTTCATAATATTATCAAACTAATTTTTTTTAAAATAATATTTGCATAAGTTATATTTCTTTTATTTTGTTAATTGTATTTTATATATTTTTATTTTTATTTTTTAGTATAAAAAAAGATAATTATATATAATATATTATAATATTATTCAATTAATACTACATATAATTAAAGTTTAAAGAATTTATATAATTTTAAAATTTTTAATATTTTAAAAATTATAAAAATTTATTTATAATATATTAAAAAATAAAATATATAATCAATAAACAAACAATAAAGTATTTTATATTTAATTATTTACTATAATTTAAATATATAAAAATTTATTTTATTTTTATTTTTATTTTTTTTTCCATAGTCAAACAAGTACATATGTTTATTGAATCTTTACAGAAAACAAATAATGTATGATATATGAACGAGTATTAATTTTTGCAACATTATGGGCATAATTATAAAGGAAATTTGATCGACAATACGATTCCGAATTAAATACGAATTCCAATTATTTACTATGTTACTTAGTAATTCTACCATAATACGATTTTTGAAAAATGGTAGAATTCAATTCCACCACATGTATAGTCCAAGCGGGTGGATAAGCTGGTAGAAATCTACAGCTCAGATATATGATCCTCTCTCATCAATTATATATGCTGCATAGTACTTTCAAGTGTATCAAAATTTTCTTGATTTTTTCTGGGGAATTTTGCCTACCTCAGTTTGACCCTGAATTTTTTGTTACACGGGATTCTCTGGTTGGTGATTGGCTGAAATCTTGGATTGGTTGATCGACACGTAAAAGAAATGTAAACAAGATACATAGCCACACGTGCCCCACGTCGTACCACATTATAACCGATAATATAATTGGATAATGCGAAAAAGCAAGGTGTCGAGGAGTTCTTTTGATAAAGAAGTGGTTGAAAGTCTTCCTTCTCTCCTCTTGTGCTGGTTTCTTTTCTCCTCAAGGTCAAAGAAGGCTCTTATTAGGCTGGTGATTGGTTTTGATGGGGTTTTTATATTATCAGTGCAAACTTTTCTCCTTCCTCTTTACCCTTCCCCTTTATTTTCTTAAAAATATAAAAATTTTTTTATATCTTAGGACCACAGAGGTTAAGTTGGGGTGAACAGTCTTGATAAAGGGCTGGCGATGATATTGAGATCTACAAGGAACATAGGTCAATATAAAGTAACTTTATTCATTCCCCTTAATCACATCTAGAGGCCATTGGCTGTTGATGGGTGTATCATATAAAGTATATAAGTTTAACCTATAGTATAGATCTGTGGTTGTCTACCCATTTGTACCTGGGGTCAGTTCGAACCCATAGTTGTAAACTAGTTTGAACGTAAATAAACTTCAAATATATGGCCTGATTAGATGTAAAAAAAAATATATATATATTTAATTATTTGAAAAAATAATAATAATGAAAAAATATTTAAAAATACTCTTTTAATCTTTAACAATATTAACCAATAATTTTATAATCATCAAATTATTTTGTTCATATCTAGAAGTCTAATAAAAAAAAAAATTTTTATTTTATCTTTTATGTTCAGTATATGTTTTATAATTTTAAAAAATATTTAGTATAATATGGTTTTGATTAAAAATCATAAATATATTACAAATTAATTAATTAATAATAATAATAATAATAATAATAATAAATAAATACTATTTTTAAATATTTTATATTTAATTTAATATACAGTATAGTACAGTATTTCAAATTTAATAAAAATTCTTTATTTAATATTTTTAAATTGTTCATATTGGATTTTTTAATTTATTATAAAATTAATTTATTTAAATATTTTTTTTTCCGTTTTTTTTTAAAAAAAGCTTGAATTAATAATTTTTATCGTGCAAAATTCCTAAAGATTTAAAAAATGTTACTTTGAAAAGCATAGTTTACGGGATAAATTATAATTATGCAAATACGGATTTTAAATAAATGACATGATGTAAAGATTTTTATCAACAAATTATATTAGAATATTTGTTTGAAAAAATATAATTTTAATTAAAAAGTAAAATCAAATGAATTAATATATTTGAAAAAAAATTCTTTTCGAGTATATTTTATAAACTAATATTAAAAATTTTTTTTGGTATATATTCTATACTGTAAATATTTGAAGACAACAAAAATGGAGAATATGATTCTTCGGATCTTATTTTAAATCCCGTTCCATTTTTTGTTAATAGATTTTATAAATCTATATTCGTTTTAATAAGTAATTTAATGTTTCTAATTGATTGAAATTCACTGTTGGAGACTGCTCATTTAGAATTTTTCTTCGATGGTGTTATGATGTTTCAGATAATTACGATAATAACATGATGGCCTTTAAAAATACTTGTAGAAAATTAAAAAAAAATTTCTCATCAAGATACAATACTACCGATTAAATAAAAAAACGTTTTCGTTCTTTTGCACGCGGTATGTTTATATACATGCTATTTCATGAATTTTTTTATAATATACAACTTAAAAATTTACCCATCTCATCTTTATAAAAAAAATATAGAAGTAGATAAATAAATGAAAATAAATGTTCCGATCTTTTTCCTTTTGAATATTGAATTTTTTTTTGTTTTTTTTTTTTGGAAAAGTGAGAAATAACGTGATAGTGTGTGGCGAATAACGAGAATAAAAGTACAGATTCACACGAATAAATAAATTTTACAAAGATTTCATTAAACGATAAAGATTATGTAGACTTTCCAGAGTCTAATAAAAACAATAAAAAAAAAGGAAATTAAACTATTTACAAAAAAAATTGGGGTATTAATCCATCATGACGAATTTTCAGGTCTTGAAATCGACTTGGTTCGATGGATAAAGGGTTTCATAAGAGGATGAAGGAAGGACCCTGCAAAGTAAGGTAATATGATTAGTATATATATCAATCATTTCAATTTGCAATAGTCTAATACTTACTTTTCTTTGCCATAAGTTCTTCCATACGGGTTTCAAGCTCCAGTTTTGCTCTTCTTTCCTCTTCCAAGACACTCTCGATGACCTTCTTTTCTTCATAGACATTGGATTTCTCGTGTTCAAATTCAACCGTTGTTTCGTCCAACCGAGAGCGCAAATAATTTATTTGATCCATGAGTTCGGATTTTTCATTTTTCAGAGTTTCAATTAGCGTATTTGAAGATTCAATGGTCTTTTCACTCTTTGTCAGTTCATCCTCGAGAGAATCGATGAGTATGCTCTTTGACATGTTATCGCTTTCAATCTTGGCGATCTTTCGGTTAAGTTTTTGAACTTCTGAACTAATATCAGATGGAGTGCTTGGAGACTCCACAAAGGAATTAGGTCTCGATCGAGGTATCTTTGATGAATTTAACACGGGCAATCCGGATGTAGGTGTAGCAGATCCGGGAGTTGGTGGCAAAGGCTGATTTGGTGGTGGATTTGGTGGTGGAGTTTTAGCAAGGTTTGCCGCCACGATTGACACGTTTGGTCGTGCTCTTTTGGAATCCGAAGACACCGATAATTGCGAGCTAACCGATAATCTGAGTCGATCGGAAGGTTCATTCTCAGCGACGGAAGCCATCCCGAATGAGGGGCGTCGACGTCGAGATGGTTCTTCAAGCAAACGTTTCTCAAGTTTCTTTTTCTCTTCGACGAGGTCTCCCTTTTCCGATTCGAGAAACGAAATCTTGCCTTTCAATTCATCTATTGTAGAGTTATTTGTGATTTCTAGTTTTTCAAGTTCACTCTTCAAAGTCTCAATTTCTTGACTTAACAACGCGGATTCTTCTTCAGCTTCGTTAACTTTTGTCTTTAGATCATTGTTAACTTGTTGTAAATTCTCGTTTGCAGATGTCAAACCTTCCAATTTCGAGTTTGTTGTATCCATCGATGCCGAAATCATCACATTTCTTTTATTTACTTCGTCGAGTTCGCGCTCCAACTCACTAATACGAAGTTTCTGTTCACTCGCGTTCAAGTCTGCCAATTCACATTTTTTTGTGGTCTCGGCATAAACCAATACCAAGTTTTCAAGATCAGCTTGAATATTCTTGATTTGGGTTGCAAGTTCTTCGTTGGCGGTTAGTTGTAATTCGTTTTCGGCTTTAAGCTGTCGGTTAATTTCTTCCAATGATTCAACTCGATCGTGATTGGATTTTGCCTCACTCTGCGCTTTCTCAAGTTGCACCGAAAGTCGTTCTGTCATTTCCGAGTTTCTCTTGCCAAGTTCTGAAAGTTCATTCTTGGCTTCTTCTGCTAACCCTTCTAACTGCGCGCATTTTTTCTTGAGCTCATTTATTTCTAGATTGGCCTCGGCGAGTTTCGTAGACTCGATGTTTCGCATTTTTTCCTTCATTAGCAAAAGCTCCAAACTTAAGTCTTGGATTTTTTGTTTATCCTGGTCTCGTTCTTTCATAGCATTAGACAACAAATTCGTGAGACCCTCGGTACTATCATTAGACCTAACGCTTTTCAACTCCTCTTTCAAGAGTTCAACGTAATCTTTCTGCTCTTCGGCTGATTTTTTCAAACTCGACAATTCGATTTCAAGAATGTGATTTGCATTTGTAGAATCATTAAGCTCCGATCGTAATTGTTTTATTATTGTTTTTTGTTCCAACTCCATATTTTGCAAAAGTTTGATTTCGGACCTTAAATTTTCAGATTCTTTTTGTGATTCCAAAATTTTAAATTCCAACTCTTTGATCTCGGCATTGAGCTTATATGTCACCGTGTTAAAATTAATGTCAGCATCGGATTTCTGTTGTTGAAGGGACCGCACTTCATTTTCAAGGTCAGAGATTTTGCTTTCGTGTTGTTGTTGTATGTAAGTGTCCAGGGACCGCAGACTCTCCAACTCCTTACTAATAAGCATTTGCTGCCTCGTTTCGGTATCCTTAATTTCTCGAAATTCTATTTCTGATCTTTGACTCTTCATCCTCGATTTTAGCAGGTCTACCTTGTTTCTTAATGTCAAATACTCCAAATTTGACTTTTCCAACTTAATTTCAAGGTCATTAATTGTCTGTTTGTAAACATCCGAAGATTCCCTTGCTAGAGTCAACTCTCGCCTTATTTTGAACAAATCTTGCAATTGGTCATTATCATACGTGCCAGCGTCACTTTGTGCAGATATTTTGGATTCTAATAAACTAATTTTTTCCTTATATTCTGATTCAATTGTTCGTAAATTTTCTAATTCCCGTATCAATCCCGCCTCCCTTTCATCAAGTGTTCGTATCTTTTCTAATGCAGATTGTTCGTTAATTCTAATTTTTTCTAGTTCCGCTCTTGTATTCTCTAATTCTTGTGTTTGCAGCTCTCCTTCAGCGCTTGATTTATTTGTCAGCTGAGCTTGCAAATCATAAATTTGTACTTGCATTTCGTCTCGTTGACTTTTAATTTCAGCAAGTTGTTTTCTGTAATCCTCCGCCTCCGCCTCTTTATCTTCAATTCTCTTTTGCAAATCTTCTTGTTCTACAACATCTCTTTTTAATTGTTCATAACGTTCATACTTGAGCTTGAGATCTTTCAAAAATTCTAGTTGAGTCTTTAAATCCTGCATTAACGATTCCTTGTTACTCGAATTATCATTTTGAACGCCATCCATGCTGTCCGAGTTTCCATCGCTGCTGGAATCTGACGTGCTGGAATTGCTAGAAAATTCGCTACGAATGGCAAGTTCCTGTTGCAGTGCCGCGAGTTTCATTTCAAGCGTGTCAACCGATTTCTGCGTCGAATTTATTATGCCTTCATCCATTACTGCTGCGCTGTCTCTTTCTCGTCTTCTTAACTCTCCGGAGAGCGATTGAGTTTTCCTATGGATTTCTTGTTTGAGAGAATTATACTCTTCACTATCTTCATCTTTAGAGAGCTCATCGAATCTCATTGTGGCTGGCAGAGAAGCTCTGACGGGAGCGATTGTCGCGACGAACGGTGAGAATCTTGTCGGCGAGTTCAACATCAACGTGCTCGAAGGTGAAATTGGAGTTATAGGTGTTGACGGTAAGTCTTCAGCTGAGTCGTTGTAATTGTTATTCATCATCAATCTTGCTTCGTTTAACTTGGACTGAGATAATTGCATTTTTATATCTTGCAACTCTCCGAGACATTCTCGGTACTTGGATTTGATTTGAGAAAATTCAGTAACAGTTTTCTCATGCGTTTGTTGGAGCTCGGATAATTTTGTGTGCAAATCTTCTGCGCCTTCTGTGTTTCCTTGATCCTCTTCCGTCTTTAGTAGTTCAAGAGGACCAGATGCTTTATCTTCGTGCAACTTTGATCTTTTAATCTCATCAAGCCCGAGGACTAGTTCATTGACGCGCTCTTCAAGCAAGGCTATTCTGTTTTCACGTTCCAATATCTCGTTCAGTAAAAATTTCTTGTCCTTTTCACCATCAGAACCATCTCCGCACATTAATTTCTTTTCCAGCTCGAGGAACAAGTCACCTCGCTCCTTTAATCTGATTTCCAACTTCTCGACTCTCTTACTGAATTCCAAGATCTTTTGGTCGCTTTCTACTAATTGACTCTCCAATGCTTTTATCCTATCCTCGTTGATCTCTTCCTGCTTTCGGTAATGTTCTTCGTTGGCCCTCAACCTATCTTCTTCCTCCTTCAACTTTTTAACGCATTCTCGTAACTCTTTTATGATTTCCTGATCCTTTTTTTGTTCCTCTTCGTACATCTCAATTTTTGATTCGAGTTCCTTGATGTGTTGCATAAATATGCCGTCTTTATTTGAGAGTTCCGAAATTTTCATTTTTAGTTCGTCGATTAGTCTCAGGTTGTCAGAATTAAGTTGTTCCGCGTACTCAAGCCTCGACTCTCGATCAGACATCAACGAGTCCGCGTGGGCCAAGGCCGCACGGCTTAGGGCGAGTTGACTTTCAAGTGCAGATATGGACTTTTCGTATTCTTCTATGACCGGTTCCACGACTTCCTGAAAACTCTGATTTTGTAACATGAACCTTGATTTGTCATTGGCCACAGGTGGAGGACTTGAAGACGCTTCGTCACCATCATCCACCTTGGCACTTCTGTGAATTCCATTAGAATTAGATATTGACATTTGAACGAATTTTTGGCTAAAATTGTCATCATCATCATCATTTACAATTGGCTCTTGAGTTGATGTACCGTTTATTGATGCCGATAAATGGATGGAAGGTTTCTTTAATAGGCTGTGAGATGCGACACCGTTAGCATTGTTGGGAGCAAGTAATAACGATGAATGGTCAAGGGAATTATTGGTAGTCAATTGCGTGGGGGTGTTTCTTCCCGAGCTACTCGATCCGCACGCGCTACTTCTACCACTTGTCGATCCGTTGGACGTAGCCAACGTCAAGGCACCTCCGCTCTTCAACAACTTAACCTCATTCCTCAGTTTAACAACCAACGACTGTACATACTCCAAGTCCTGCCACCCAGCTTCTTCCTGATTCACGACCGCACTGTTTTTAATGTTCCTTGCTCTGTTGGCGTACTTTAGCGTGTTCACCGTTTCATTCAGGTTGTATTCCGAAGGTGAAACACATGCTATCATTAGAGTTTGCGCATTTCCTCCCAAGGAGTCCTGCAATAGTCTGGTGAGCTTCGAGTCGCGATAAGGTATGTGAGTCGTGTGTTTTGCCTTGTTCGGATCACCCAACGCAGAAATTACATTTCCGAGGGCCAAAAGACCGGAATTGATGGATATACCCTCCTTCGCACGATCTCCTACCGCGGATGTTCGCTTTAGCTATAAAACAATGAATCATTCTTTTGAATTAGCCAAGATAATTGAAGATTGGAAGAAAAATCACGAGGTTGATTAGATCTTACTCTCTCGCTGCCAGCCAAGTCCACGAAGTGGAATTTACTCGTGACCATAATAGATTCGCCAGATCCCTCGTCAAATTGTTTGTTCAGTCGACTTGTGCTTGAAACAGGTCGAAGTCCGGACTTTGCTAACTCGGCCATTTTTGATGGAGGTGGTGATGGCGATGATGAATTTGAGGATGTGACATACTTTTGCTGTGTCATCGTCACACTGAATATCGCGTGAGATCTCGAGGATTGCGCGTTCATCTGTGTAGCACCCACCTGACGATTTTGGGAGCCCCTTGACAGATGACTGAACGATCGAGCAAAACGAAAATTTGATGAGCGAGTTGAGCGCAAGGTCACCGAACGAGCAAGAAAATAATCACGTACCTCATTAATTCATCAACTCCGTTAACCTTGATCTCCTGTAGACCACTCCACAGGATGTTTCCTTTCAGATCCTCTCTTATGGTGACCTGCGATCGAGTATCACCATCACCAAGCAGATCGATCAAATCTTCGTTGTAAATTTCGATGAACGACACTTTTATTGAGAATTTATTTGAACGATATCTTGGTTCGTTGGTTTTATTGAAGAGCGTGGCCATCGCTCGAGGTATTATTCCCTTGGATTCAAGCGGTATAGATGAATTGTCAGCCGTGCCCATGGTGTGAGTTTTCCCGGATGAAGTCTGTCCGTAGGCCAGAACCGTAACATTATAACCTGCGTTTCCGTCGTGAGAAAGAAAAAATAAATTAAGATTAGTCATATTGTCCTTGAATGGGCAAAATTAGCACGCGAGACACCTGAAACCAAATAATCACCTTCCAGAAACTTATCAACCAACTTTACAATAGCCTTATCGTAAATATCTTGTTGTGAGGATTCCGGGCCGAATACATGATCATAGCTGAATGCCAGTTTCTTTTCTGATTGCACGACCACCGAATTCGGTGGCATCACGGATATTACCTGACGTTGAAATCGTGTGGGTAAGGCTGCCGCATCTCCATTTGTCATTGGCCGTATTCTTACGGCTAATGCACGCGTAAAAAAAGAAAAGAAAAGAATGAGTATGGAACGGTAAATGATACACCGTTTTTCTTTTCCTTGTTCGAGGTGGCACTCTCCCTCGATCAAGTTTAACCGCGTCCCTCATATTGATAATACTGACCGACTTGTACTGAGGACTTTTCTGTTCCATCTTCTTTTGAATTCGTCATCTTCTTTGATATTGTGTAGGGTGAAAACGGCTATTTTCAATGAGATTTTTTTTTTTTTTTTATTGTGAAATTTTCTCAGCCGATAAGAAGACGACCAATTTGCAATTCCTAAAAATGAAAGTCCAACTATTATTATCTAACTTTACCGAGGAATAGGATAATGTATGTGTATGTGGGCATGATTGGGGTACTCACTTGGTTGATGTCCTCTTTTTTTCCCTTTCGGTAGAAAGTAGAAAGTAGGATTTGTAGTTGGGTGAGGTATTACCTTTAATAAAGGTCGTTATAAATACTAAAATGTCCTTGACTATTTTTTCTTTTGGTATGCGCTTTGGTTTGCAACTCGTATCGTTTTTTTTTATCGTACAATTATTATTATTTTTTTCGTCAAATTTTTAATTTCTTAGTCGAGAAACTAAAGGCGTCGTCAAGCGGAAAGATTTCTTTTTTTATTACAGAATGGACGTTCACCATAAAAGAAAAAATTTTTGAATATCTCCTCGGATAATGGAATAATGGTGAGGATTGGGTGTGAGTGAGTGAGTGAGAAGAGAAAGTCAGTCGTATGTTTGATGCGTGACAAATTTTGATTTTATGTTATGTAAATGTCGAAAAAAAAAAAAAATGGCGAAAAAAGAAAAATGGCAAACGTGATTTGATTCTTCTTGATTTTTTTTTTTTTGAATAGGGGACTTAAATTATATTATTATATTATCCAAACAGGAAATGGTGAAGAAAGAAAAAAAAAAAAAATTTTTTTTAAATGCTAAGTTTGGTCGACGGTCGACGGCCGTAAGTGTGTAACTACGTATAATGAAAAAAATTAAAATTGAATTATTCTGTGCACATGAGCAATAAATAAATATACAGTATATATAAAATCTGATTTAGTACACTTCATATTATATTCTGGAAGTGTAAATACGCAAATGTATTTCCTTATTGCACTCGTATGTATGCGATAATGCGCAGAGCACATTGTGTAATCGCAATACGTAATCCAAATGGAATTTATTGTAAAGCTTGTGATTTATAAAAGCGGAGAATCCCTCCAGCATATGCGTGGTGTCTACATGTATAAGTCCGAATTGGTGGAATCCTGAGCAGAACCAAGAATTTTTTATTTATACGTATTGTGTGGGATGAGCAACGAATTAACCGTTATTTTCGTAATAGTGATACTATATTAATAACATCATTCCATAACGGGAGTCGTGATGCAAACTAATTTTTGCAGTGAAGACGTCGCAGTGGCACTAAACAAGAGAATAACGCATACAGGATAAATCATTTGTTACGGATACCGTGGTATATTTATTTATATTTTGTAAGTTGCTTGTGTGTGTGGATGCTGATTTGATCACTTATTAGTCGAAGAGCTAGTAAATCGGGGTTGGAAATAACTGGTTGCTTTTTGACAATATTTTTTTTTGGTATTTCTACGTCTTCCAACGTCGATTTCTTGTAACGAAGAAAATAACCAATGGCGATGTCGCAATGTAGAGAAATCCGCAGTTAGAAAAGTGAATTTCATCCGAGAACTTTCGAAAATTTGTGATTGATGTCAACATTATCTGAAACACAGTGTCGAAGCTGGGTGCCATCGTATTACGTACGTACGCACTTATTGGCGCAACATGTGCGTAGCCCAAGAAAGATGTTTTTTTATCATGCATATAACACGTACTTTTAAATGTGTGATGGTTTTCATAACACGTATGCGCCGCCGTCTGTGTCAATCGCCGCCATGTCGCTTGTATATTTTTTTCGGGGGGAAGAGCCTCAGGTTTCGAGAAGGCGAATCGCACGAATAAACTCATCGTTTGGTGTCCCCGTTGGGTAAGCAAAGTGTGAAACCTTTTTTGACATGCATGTTTGGTCTCATAATATTTAAGCGTGCAGCGCAATCGATGTATTCCCCCCCACTTGTTAGATATGATTGCACAGGAAACAACTACAACAAACAAAAGGTACGCATGGCGTGGACGTGTACGAAGAAAACTGCATGGAAGCGTGAGATGAGGCAAAGGAGAGCTGATATTGGTGTGGGCTAACCATCGCGAATTGTAAACAAGATGACGAAAGTCCAATACCGTGCGTATTAACATCAGCGAAGAGAGAGGTTCGAGATGTTATAATTAGAATGATTTGCATTGCACAGAACCTTACCGAAAACAGGTTTGTTAGCATTTTTTTTTTTTTTCTTAACTAAAACTTTCTCTTATTTCAATTTATTTAAAGATGCATCCTATCTTCGATCAAAACAGCCCGCCATCAATTATCAGTAAGACAGGTTTGAATA